TTTTTTTTTTTAAGGAGACATGTGATCAACAGTGAGGGGTCCATAATGAAGAGGACATAGACGCTGCACTAGAAACTCAAATGTCACTCATAACTATGACAGGGAGAGGAGGGGAGGGAAAGGAAACGGTAGTACTGGGGGCTGAAATGGAGAAAACTATAAATATGTTGAAGTGAACCTCACAATTATGAGTAACTATGATGCAATTAAAAAAAAAAAAAAGAGGAGCTGGGGATGTGGCTCAAGCTGTAGCGCGCTCGCCTGGCATGCGTGCGGCCAGGGTTCGATCCTCAGCACCACATACAAACAACAATGTTGTGTCCACCAAAAACTGAAAAATAAATATTAAAAAAAAAATTCTCTCTCCTTTTCTCTGTTAAAAAAAAAAAAAAAAGACTGGGAGACAAGAAAGTGGAGGCAGCAGAAATAACCGCTGCCTCACGGAGCACAGGAATGGAACTAGGAGGGGTATGGCATCAAGGAAGGTCTTTCCTGGGTTTTGTTTTTACCTACTGTACTGGGATCCTGACTGGAAAAAAACTGATAAGTAGAAGATACAGAAGACAAAAAATGACCAATAAGAGTGGGACTAACAGTAGGAGTGATGTCCTTGAGGAGGAGAGTGGAGGGATGAGAGCCTTACCACAAGGAGAGAAGCCACTTTCAGGAGTAACACTCACTGTTCTATTTTAAAGGGAGGGAATTCAAGAAAATCAGTATATAAAATCTATCTATCTATAGATACATATATACATATATAGATTTTATTAGATTTTTTTTTCAATAGAGATTTGATGAAAAAGCAGGAACTTAGATGAAAAAGCAGGAAGGTAGACTTCAGAGCAAAGAAAATGACTAGAGACAAGGAGGGACATTACATAACAAAGGATGAAGCCACCATAAAGAAGTATCCAACGCGGCCTCAAGATACAGCAGCAAAACTAACAGGGCTGAAAGGAGAAAGCCAAGTCCACAATTTCAGCTGCAACTTGGACACTGACTTCTCAGCAACAGACAGGACTACCAGATAGACAATCAGCAAGGATACACACTCCAACTGGCTCTCACATACAGAACACCCCACCTACTAACAGCAGAACACACAACTTTTTCAAGCATCCATAGAACAAATTCATTGACAGAAAATATCCTGGGCCTTAAAACATAACAAATTTCAAACAACCAAAATCATAAAAAGTGTGTTGTGACCATAATGGAAACAAACTAGAAATCAGTATCAGAAAGACTACAGGAAAAATTAAGGAGTTCTTATCAAATATTTTGTATTCTCTCAATGACATGAGGCAAGGTAGAAAGAAGAGGGGAGAAGAAAGAGAAAGGAATGAAACTAATAACTGAGTGCCCACTGTAGGACAAATACTGTGCCAGACATGGCACCAACCCAACAGATAGCCAAGTTTACTCTCAAGAACCTTCTATGCCAAGGATGGGAGTTAGAAAGGATGACAACATAAAAATGAAAGAAAATGTCGGGTGTGTTTAGTGTTAATAAAGAAAGAAGAATGAGGGAGAAAGTAGCAGACAAAATCACAAAGGCAGGAGAGGAGATCAGAGGTGCTCTGTGTAGTACACACTGGGTAAGTAGAAAGGTGGAACCAGAGGTCAGCAGGAGGCCCCTGCAATAAAATAGGCTGCAGTAAAGCAGAGAGAAGTGTTGAGGGTATGGCAGATAGGATTTTCTGATGAAGTGGAATGATCCAAGAGAAATGCAGACTCTAGGACAATTCAAGTTGTCTGGTTATGCTCCAGGTAGAATGAAGTTGTCGTTTTATGGGATGGGAAGACCTGAGGAGAAGGTTGAGGTGTGAGTGTATACGTATGGTGGTAAATCAAGACTTTGGATAATGCAGTGTAGTTTTAATTAATGTAGTTTCAAGTTTTTAGCTTCTCCCATTTTCTTAATTTTGAAAAAAATTAAAACCTACAAACTGTTAGGATTGTATGAACACCCATATCCCTTTACCTAGATTCACTAGTTGCTAATATTTCACCAAATCTGCTTGAGCTTTTTCTTTTGCTGAACCACTTCCCCTCACATACTTATATCTATCTCTTCAAAAAAGACATTCTCCAGCATAACCACATTACAATTGTCACACTCATTATTACATATAGTACTCTTCTCTGATATACATTTCTTTATAATTTTCCTGGAGCCAAGATTCAACCAGGGATGAGTGTGTTCAGTTTGGGAAGCCTAGGAAGCATACATGTGTGGCTGTGTCAAGAAAATAGAATATATGCATTTGGAATTCAGGGATAAGGTCAGATTTGAAGATACATTCTATAGTGAGAATATGAATTACTTAGGAAATGCAGTTGGACTGGGTGCCCATTTGAAGTTAATAATTATAAATTTAAGGTGAAATGTGTCTGTTGAGTTATGATTTTCTCTAGTAATAATAAGTTGAATGGGCAGAGACACAGTGACAATATGCCTAACCATGGTTAGCTTAAGTAGGTTAGAGGTAAAAAGAAGCAAGGAAACTGACAGCCCCTTTAAGGGAGTGATTGTAACAACAGAGCGTGATTTCTGTTCTGGATGAGAAGGAAAGCAAAGATTGGAGGTGATAAGCATTGTTCTAAAAATCTATGATTGTAAAAAAAAAAATTACTACTTTAAAATAAATGTTAAATATTTGTCATATTTAATGTTTGCCTCTGGCAAAGAGGCCATCTCATATTTAAAAGAAGAAAATCAGTCAGCATTATCAATATTTATTTTTACTATACAAAACTGTATTTAGTGGAAAGGACACAAAATATAGAAACCACCTCCTAGAGGCAGAGCCTAAAAGAAAATAGGAAAGCAGGCTTCCACCGTCTTTTACAAAGGTAGAAGCAGAGTTTAATGATATCGTAATCACAAAGCTTGTTCCTGGCAAAAACAAGACTAGCACTAAAGTCTCTGAACTTCCAAGTCCAGCACTATCCATCTTGGCTTCCAAAATATGTTGTCAGAAAACTTCTGGAAAAACATATAAATATTCACAGGGTTATCCTTGGTAATTGGGGTTGTGGAAGTAGAAGTTTCCCACTTTTTATTTTAGTACTATTGAAATTTTTTGTAATGAACATGTACTACTTTAATAACAGGGTGGTTAGTAAAATGAAATTTAAAAAAACACTATTATGCCATGCATAGCAACCAAAACTAGGCAGACACTTGCAACTTTTAATTCAGCAATTATTGTGTCCTTGGCTGCTACATCCTGCCCTTCCCCCTTCAGCCCACCTGTTTCCCACCTTTTGGTCACCCCATTCAGCATTTTCTAGGCCCAGTCACACACTCTCAAGATAAGGGGAGGAGGGCAGAACAAAGACAGCCTAGGACATATAAAAAGGGCAGAATACCTCGCTTCTTGGGATACCAGCAATGGTCCCTCCTGGGAGAAGTCCTCTTTTTAAACTAAACCCTGTTTGCCTCTGCGTGCTTCTCTAATGTTCAAACTTCAACATGTGAGGAAGCAGAACTTGTCACGGATAGATAACCGTGGGTATCAGTGTCACTTCAAATGGTCATCAAGGCTTCATTCATCTCCTGCAATTAGTCTTCCCTGAAGCCAGCCCCTCTACTGAACAGCATGCTTTTCCTGCACGTACTGTAAATTTCAAGGCAGTTAGTTCTTTGGTGCAGAAGCTGTCTTTTTCTGTTTCTTAGCCCTACCACTTGGCCACTGGTTAACACAAGTAAGCAGTCAACATTAGGTTTGATCCGTGAATAAATTCTTGCAGGACTCAAACGGCTCGTGTGGCTCTGGAGCGTAGGGGGATAACAGGGACCGGTGCCATGAGCACAGGCAGGGGACTAAGGAGACAGCATTGGTACCAACACAGCCTCCAGCCGCTCCAACCGGGAAGGCCTTTCGCTCGCTCCCATGCCCAGTGAGCGGTCTCTCACAGCGGCTCATCTGCGGCGGCGGAGCGCGGGGGTTCTGCAGCGGCCCGGCACCGCGCGCAGTGGGGAAAGCCCTCCTCCGCCTGGCGCGGACTCCGGCCCGAGCCGGCGGGGCTGCGGGGAGAGGGAGCGGGCGCGCCTCCCCCCGTGCCCGCGAGCCCCACTCACCCGGCGCCCCCGCCCGGGACTCTCACCTCGGTCCCAGACTCAGCCCTATGGAAGTCACTGCACATCGCCCCGGAGGCCTGGCGCACAGGAGACTCAACTTTCCCGCCTGCGAGACCATTTACCGACCGGCTGGGACCCGCAGCCAGTCAGGATGAGAGCGGCCGTGCGCACCGCGCAGACTCTTGGCCCCAGGGCGACGAGCGCCTGCGCAGTGAGGCTGCAGGCGCTCCGGGTGGCGTCATCCTCCCGCGCCCCCGCCGCGCCCTCCTGTCTCCTGGGAGACCGGAAGTCGGCTGGTGCCTTTATCTCCTCAGACCTGAGCTGGGGCTCCTTTCTGAGAGGCAAAACTGGTGTCATGTGTATTTGAATTTTCTTAACTATTAAAATGCACTTATGGAGCAGGCAGCCGAATTTGTCCACTCAGGCTAAGGCTAAGGTGGCTGTGTGTGAAACTGGCGGTTGATTCTGGGGAAAGTAAATTAAAAAGCTGTCCCTGTGGCCCCAGGCGCCCCTCCATTAGCGCGCGCCGCGGGCCGACGTTCCACAGATGTGCGCGAGCCGCCGGTCCGC